AGGCGAGGGCAGACTGACTGACCTTTGAACAAGTCACCAGGATGTTGTTGCGGAAGCGTAGGTGAAGGACAGCTTCGCTGTGATGGCGCAGTGTGTGTAAGCACTCGCCTGTGGAGAGGTCCCAGAGACGAACGCTGGAATCACTGGAACCACTGATAAGGAGATTGCCTTCATACTGTAGGCAGAGGACGGAGCCAGTGTGACCCTCGAGCACCTATGCAGGAAGGAGTGCAGACAACAGACCCAAAGAGTAAGGAAATAGTAGCAAAGTGCAAACATTTATCCAAATAAAGAACTGGTAGAAGAACCCGCGCACAACTGGCATCACTCAGTATCGCCCGCGTGCCTGGTAGCTAAATTCGTGCTCATATCTCAAATCCATCCAATGATCACCTGCAAAACAACAACACCACTCTCTTCCCAGACCAAGCACACAACAATTTCCGGGTGGGGGGGGGTTGGCAAATTTGCTTAATTCAACTGACCCAGTTGTGAAAAATTCGAGGCCTCAGTGGGAGTTGAACCCACCCAGCAAGGAAGGCTTTTGTGCAGGCAACGCTCTACGAGGCTCACCGTGAGCCGTGAATTTAATCACGAGCCTCCACCCCCCAGCGGTTGATATTTCTCTCGTCCTGAAAGACTAGGATCCTCGCTATATGGTTATGGAGTTTTCCATGAATTATGTTGTATGTGAGGTAGCGTACTGGGTGGGAAGTGGTATAGTATCACTAGTGGCTCCGTGTTACATTCCATGGCGAGAGAGATATCTATTTCTAACTTACAGACTTACCCTACTAGCCCTCACGCAGAGCCTAGCCCAAGTTCTAGCCTCCGTTTCGCCTGCAATTTAGCGTAATGCAACCTCTAATACAGGGTATATCTATAACCATGCCCTGTCTCTTTCAATTTTTCACTTACAGAAGTCAATCCACCCAATGTGGCAAGCAAAAATCCGCAGCCCATCCCAAAAATTGCGCAGTCCTTCGAGGGTCCATCTTATCCCCTTACTTCTTCTCCCTCCACAATGACGACCTACGTCTCAGCATGGTCTTTAGCCAATTGTCTTCTACTGAATAATCAGAAGCCAGTCCAGTGATTTTTCCGATTGCGACCATCGCCCAGTCTTGAATCCCTAGACATCGTGCCCAACAAGGTAGCTCCTTTCCGTTACCTTGGTGTTACTCTTACGTCTAATCTACACTCGGGCTCACACCTCAAATGCACCCAATGATGACCGGGCAGTGACCTGCACAGCAATAACACCACTTTCCTCCCACACCAAGTTCCGGGAAGATGGACACGAGATTAGTCACAGACACGTCTGCCACAGGTAATCATCCAGCTCACTTGGGGAACCGCAAAATGCAGACGTTAGAACTTACCTGTGTGCATTCGTAGCCGTCAGAGTCTGGAGTTTCCTGCGTCGCACCACCGGCCGGCTGTGGCTGGTGTTCGCCA